GGAGAGGCGTCAGGATGCAGCTGCTTTGCTAGCTGCAGATAACGAAGCCGCAATTCAGCAGCAGAGGCATAGGGGGTCAGCCCCAGCACACGGAAAGGGCATTCATCATTAGAGGCAGCGCATGCAGAAAAAAAACGAGAAAAAGAAATACAACTGAAATTCAACAAAGGCCGAGGAAAGGAATGAAACTGCAAAGAAGGGACCACCCGCTGCATCGCATCCTTAAGCAAGTTTAGGGTTTAGGGTTTAGGGTTTAGGGAGAGCAAACGCAGCTCAACAAGAAATAAGTTTTCTGTATTGCATATTCAGAAGATAATCCTTCGTTAACATTTGTTCTTTATAGTCTCTTAATACACTCCATCTACAGAAAAAAGAAAAAATGAATATAAAAAAAAAAGGAGTTGCCACCCCTGCTGAAGTCCCACTGCTTTCCCTGCCTTGCCTTCGGGTGTATGTACAATACGGAGGCGGAGAAGTTCAAATTGTATCGATAAAAACCCAAAGTATGTTAACAAAATACAAAGTTATATAAAAAAAAAACAGAGTATGTGAATTTCGGCGGAGAAGTCGGTTTTGTATCAGATGCGGAGAAAAATGTATTGCAACAGCTGAGAAGGAGAACTCCTTATCGCACAAATCTCGATTAAACAGTATTATATTATAAAAAAAAGAAAACACCAAACGGAATAACTCTAAAAAAATGAATTTATATAACCCACGGCCTGTGAACACGTTGGTGGCGGTGAGGTTTCTTTTGGGGGGGTTGTATGGCTGCAGGAATATATGAAACGAAATTTTGGTTTAATACACAAAACAGCAATAAATAAAAGTAATATGTAATTATACTATTTGTACTTATTTTAGTATTTGTATTTGTGTAGTTAGGACAGTTCAACAAACAGCCGTTGTGTGTGCGTTCACCGTTGCGTTTGATTGGGGGGGGCAGCAAGTACTCCAGTACACACGAAAAGAAATGGATATTTTGAGTTGTTAGCATAAATAAAATGAATAAATTTAAATAAATAGTGAAAATTTAACTAATTTAATCTGCTGCATCTCACTGGACAGACCGCTGAATCCCGTGGGGCTGTGGCGGCCTTGACGGTCGCATGCAGTTGGATTTCTTTTCTTCTTTGTTGAATTTTTTTCTACCACTTGTTTGCTATTTTGTTTATTGTATTTGAACACCTTTTCACCTTTTTGCTTGCTATTTCTTTTGATTTATTCGAGCCATGCAGGCAGCGGGTCTTCTATGCTACGGTAGCTAGATGAGGCCCTCCTTCTCCGTCTTCTTGTATGCCCTCTGTGTGGGCCATCGTCTTTGGTTTTTGCTTCCTTTTTGATTTTATTTTCTTTTAAACTTCTTCTGAATCTCGTTACCTCAGCTACACTAACCGCTTTCTGGCTAGGCAGCGGCCAACGTCCTCCTCCACTGCCGAAACCCTGCCCTTCTCACAACCCCAAATATTTGAACGGGATTCACTTTAAAACAGCATATACAGCTGCAGCTCTCTGTGCATCCTACAGGAGACGTATTGCTGTATGCACGCATTCCCCCAGGTGTATACACAACGCCGGCCTGCCGGGAGAGCCCAAGTGCCGCGCACGAAAGCAAGAATCATCACAAATAATATAACAAGATAAGCAGCAGCAACAGTAGTACAGCAACAGAAACAGCAGCAAAATGCATTTCGTTAAATCCTCCGTCTACCAGGCGGAGATAACAGAGGGCGGAGTCCGTGAGCGGGAGGTCGACACCCGATCAAGAGAAGAAGTTGAACTTCAGGAGCGCCTGCGAAGGCTACCAGAATTCAGCAGAAGTAAGATACACACACAGCTAGCTGTCAGCTAGCTACAATGGCTAGCTGCTCGCTAGTTCACAGCCAGATGTCAGCTAGCTACTGTTTTTTCAACTGTTCGTCGCTAGCTAGCTGTCAGATAGACAGTGGCTAGCTGTTGGCTAGCTGGTCCGTCTCATACGTCCTGTAGCATTGATAGAAGGGCGTTTCTTTGGTTTTTCTGCTTAACTTGAATCCTCTCCCGTTGCCTTTATTCTCTATCTGTTAAAACTTTGCCGTCGGCATTCGCGTTGCTGCTCTATGCTGTGTGTTGATGTATTCTGCAGATCCAAATTTCAAGAGGTGCGTCTTCTGGTGTTTGTTTTCTCTTTGGGTTTATCCTCTAAAGATATTTAATCATCATTTAACTAGCAAATGTTTAATGTAATTACACTGGAACGATCAACAGGCGCGGGAACTCCACCGAGTTTTGCGGCTTGTGAACGATATCTTGTTGAACTGGGGGAAGAGGAGTACTAACTCTGTGCTTTTTATATCAATTAGAAGCGCCAGATTCTCTCTTTCTCTCTCTTTGTATCTCTATGTCTCTCTCGCCACGAGCACGTGTATCTGTATTCCCCTCTCTTTCTTACCTTTTTATATCCGTAAGATGCATCGCCTTCTCTTTCCTCTTCTTTGTTGGTGTTGAATGGTACAGCTATGCAGAACAGGTCCTCGAGGGGTTACCCCCCACCACACCGGAGCCGCCACCACCAACAGAAGGAAAGCAGAATCCAAATCTTCCTCATTCGGTATATCGCAAAAAAATATATATTTATTTTGTTCGATCTGTTTTCCTTTCATCGTTATCTGTTATTATTCATGATTTTCTGGTTTGTTCATCAGCAAAAAATATCATTCATCATTATCTTTTATTTTTCATGGTTGCATAGTATTCTCCATCAGTATTATGTTAATCTTCATCATTATATGCTATTATTAATTATTATATGTTATAGTTCATCATTTTTTGTTACACTTTATAATTATACGAGTAGTTGATGATTATTTATAACCTATATTTCCTCCTGGAAGCAAGCGGCTTGTGAACCTGCATATACACCGCAGGTGACGGAGGAAGAGTTTGAATTTTATGAGGCTTTGCGCGCCCAAGACCGCCGTAAGAAGCTGGCGAGACAGAAGGAGGAGGACGAGATGCGTGATGAATTTCACAAGGCAAGAGAAGCATCACTGAAGGCTGGATCTTCTGTTTCCTCCAGCCGCTCTCACCGAAGTACAGAGTCAGACGGCAGCCTCTCTTCGGGGGGAAAGCCGTCACCTTTTGCGCTCTTAGGAGTCCAAAAGCAAAAGTCAAAAATGTCGTCACCTTTTGGGAGCGAATGCATCTTCGATGTTACTACAAAGGTCTACCAAGAAAAACAGAAAAAGAGAGCGCTTCAAGTGAGCCGGAAAGCGATGCAACATTCATACACCCCAGCGTCATCACCACCCACCCACAATCTGCTTGGCTGGCGTCAGCTCATTTGTTTTGCAAAATGTTTCTGCATACTCGCTAGTTCTCTCCTGGTGTTGGTGATGACCGAAATCCGGCCATTCGGTGGATTCAATGCTTGCCGGCATTTCTCTCTACGCACACCTGACTCTTCTGCTTTTCCACCTCCGCGTCTTATTCTGCAAAGACAGACGGAAGCGCCTTCTCGTTTCTTATAGAGGAAGCCTGCGCTGCTATCAGCCGGCATATATATATATATATATATATATATATATATATATATATATATATATATATATATATATATA